TTGGCCAGATAGGATGGGACTGTGGGCAGGGCCAGGATCATGGGGTGGTTACAGAGTAGGGCCAGGGGCAGAGCTGCAATCCACTCCCAGCATGCTCCTGCCCCTGGATCTAGTGCCCGTTGCAGGGATGTGCAGGGAATGGATTGTAGCTCTGCCTCAGGGCCTCAGCCCTGTGCTAATCACTACTCCATGATCCCATTCCCTCACCTCCTGAGGCCCCATCCCATCCACCAGGCCAAGCAGCCCTGCCCACACAGGTCTCAGGCTGGTCTCCATGGAGATCCCACCAGCCAACTGGTTCTTCTGGCAACCCTGATAGTGGGTGCATGGCAGATGGCCCCAGGTGCCTGGGCAGCAACACTGGCAGTAGCATCTGGAAGGAGTTGCTACCGCTGGGCTGCTGGGAAGTGGAGTCTGGCTGCTGTGCTGTCCCAGACCTGCTGAGTGCAAGGACCAGCTGGATAGCCGACAGCCCGGGCTGCCCTCACCCCCACCATGCCTGGACCAGGTGTGGCCAAGGGACCCACTGGAAGCCAAATAAAATCCCTTGATGGCTTGGATCCAGCCCTTGGTCAATATTTTGCCCACCGCTGCTCTTGGGAGTGATACTAAGACCTCTAGTGCAAGGCAGTAGTGTCTGTATTGAAGACACCTCCCTGGGCACAGCTGTGTGTAATCAGCTAAATGTACCCTCACACTAGTGGAATAGTGATAACCCTGCCTAGAGCCTCATCCTGGACTCACCTGCCTTTTCTATAGGTCTTCATCTGGGCTAAACATCCAGTATCTGGTTCTGGGATTGGTGAATCTAAGTGCACACCTTTCATCGGCTGCAAAGTGAATGGTAAGGGCTCAAATGGACAGAAGATTCTTAATATGGATCAACGGGCACTAAACTCCAGATGCCTGACAGAGCATCCTCTTTGGACAATGACAGGAGCCACATAGCTGAGTTAGCAGGCACAACAGGGCAGATGCTGCACCCTCCAGCTGCCGAACCTCATCTCTGCTGGGTAAAGGTTGCGGTGCCTCACAGAGTTCATCCTGCTATTCCACACCAGAGGTTGCATATTAAACTATTTTGCATGGATAATTTACTAGTACTAAGTTTCCTTCCTCCCAATACTTCACCATCATCATCCACTAACTCTTCACCAAAAGACTCATGGCGAGAGCTTCCTAGATTGTGCTGACAGGCCTGAGAAGCTGGAAGCCGGTAGCCAACAATTTCCACATGAGCAGCCTAGGTGTGATGGTTGCATGACTCTTGCTTGGTGATGGGAACATGAGGTCTTACTCAGGCAACCAGGCAGTGCTATTTAGGGAGGCCCCTATAAAAGTTGAAATAAAAAAGGTTCGCCTCTCACCAACATCTGGCTAGTTTCCCAGGATCAGCAGGATCTTCTTTTTAAGCGGGAGAAACAATAACAGAAATGGACAGAAACTGACAGTTGGATGCTGGAATGTTTGTACACTACTTGACTCAGAAGAAAATTTAGTTTGCAGAAGAACTGCATTAGTAGCAAAAGAGCTACACAGGTATCAAACAGATACCGCTGCCTTATCCGAAACTAGTCTACCTGACAGAAGCATGCTTAGAGAAAAAGAATACACTTTCTACTGGTCAGGTTACAAGGCAGTCCAAACCACCAACCTACATGGGGTAGGACTTGCAATAGCAAACTCCATTGCTAATAAACTACCACGGCAGCCTGTGTCCATATCTGAGTGCCTAATGACACTGCAAATACTACTGTCCCACAATGACTTTCTGGCAATAAGAAGTGCCCACCCCCTAACACTACTTGCTGCCAAAGAAATGAAGACTCAGTTCTACAACCAGCTGAGTGACACCCTAAGAAACATACCCAACAATGATAAAATCCTACTACTCGGTGATTTCAATGCACACATTGGAAATGACAACACCACCTGGAACAGAGTCATGGGGAAATTTGGATGTGGGTCTTTAAACACAAACAGAGAATTACACCTAACACCTTGCACAGAGTTTGACCTTGCTGTTACAAATATCTTTTTCAATATGGCAGAAAAGTGGTTCTACTCTTTGCAACCCCCTCTGTCAAAATGATAGCACCGTCTAGACTACGTCATCATTTGTTGCAATGACTTGAGGGATGTTTACAGTACTAGGGCTATGCAAGGTGCAGAATGCTTTAGGAATCACCAGCTTATTCGTACTCAAATGAACATCAGGATTCACACTCCTAGGCAGAAGGTTACTCCAAACCCAAACTAATGTGTTGTTTCAAAACTTTGCATGGAAGAGGGGAGAACTCAGTTAACAACTTCCACTCATGCCACACTATCAAACTGTGCCAATGCAAGAGCAAGCAGAAAGGTGGGGTGCCTTTTGAACTGCAGTGCAATCAGCAGCTAAGAAAGTCTTAGGTGTCCCAACTTGACAAGATGTGGACTGTTTTGATGCAAATGACAACAATATTCAAACATTGTGGCCCATCAAGCCATGAACCAAGTTAAACAGAACAGCCCCCTATCTCTCTTGTGGCTATAGAAGCCTTCAAGAAATCAAAATCTGAAGTGCAAAGAGCTGTGGGAGACGGAGGACACTTGGTGAATAAACAAAGCAACAGAACTACAAGCTCCTACTGATACTAATAAAACCTGCATTTTTTTTCAGGAGTTAAAATGCATTTATGGACCGGGAAGAGCCAATACCTGTCCAATCCTGGCCCTCATGGCACCACCCTGCTGACTGAGCACAGTATATTAGAAAGATGGAAAGAACATTTTGCGATCCTCTTCAATCATCATGAGTCAAGTGCAAATGATCAAATAGACTCAACTAAGCAAAGACGAGTTCAATATGAACTTGAAGATCCACCAAATCTGGAGGAGATTAAGAATGCACTTATGGAAACGGCAAATGGAAAGGCAGCTTGAGCTGATGAAATCCCAGGTGAAGTGCTTAAATACGGTAGTCCTGCACCCTACAAAGCTTTGCTAGACCTATTTACTTTCTACTGGGAAAATGAGGGTTTATCCCAGGATTTCAGAGATGCCAAAATCGTAACAAATCGACAAGAAAGTGCAAAGGAGACAGACATGAATGTGGCAATTATCATTGCATTTTGCTCCTCTCCATCGCTGACGTACTCCCTGAATCCGTGTGGTTTTCATTCATCACGCAGCACTGCCAACATAGTTACTCTATGCCAGTTACAGCAGAAAGTTGCCAAACAACAAATACTCCCGTACATTGCATTTGTCAACTTTAGTATGGCATCTGACTCTGTTGAACACTCTGCTCTCTGGTGCCTTCTTGCAAAGTTCGGCTGCCCAGACAAACTAATACACCTCATATGCTACTTCCATGACAACATGCAGGCCCATGTATCAGTGGGTGCTGACTCATCTGCTGCCTTTCCTGTAGCTCATAGGGTCAAACAGGGCTGCGTGCTTGCCCCTGCATTATTTACTCTGTTCTTGGCTGGAGTGCCAGAAGTTGCTGCACATACTACCACTAGTGGTATCACCCTAACAACACAATTTGATGGCAGACTTCTAAACCTCTGCCAATTCAAGGCTAAATGCAAATCCCAACAAAGTAAAGTAAGATATACTGCATGCTGATGACTCAGCATTTGCCACCCTTTCTGAGAATGACCTGTAACTTTTACTGAATTCCTCTGCCCATTCTTGGCCTCCATTAACGTAAAGAAAACCAGAGTCCCGTACCAACCATCTCCTGGCGTAGACCTATCACCTCCATCACCACCAAAAATAAAACTGAATGGCAGCCAATTAAACAACATCAAGTCCTTTTGCTTCCTAGGTAGCACAGTTACTGATGATACCAGTATTGACAAGGAGCTTTCAGCATGCTTAAAGTCAGCTGCCTCAGCTTTCAGTTGCTGACAAAAAAGACAATGGACGAGATGGGGGGTCAAAGTGTCTACAAAATGCCAAGTTTACAGTTCTGTTTTGCTCCCTTGTCTCCTATACTTGTTAGAGAACTGTCCCTTTTATGATGACTGAATCGAAAAACTTAACTGCTTGCAACAGTGCCACCTACGCAGCATAATGGGAATGAAATGGTCTGACAAAATCACCGACAACGAAGTACTATGACTGGCAGCCATGCCAAGTGTGGAAGCCACACTAGCACAGAGGCAAACGACCTGGGTCGGCCACATCATACGTATGGACAACAATTGACTGCCTAAGAGAGTCCTGTATGGTGAATCTGAAAAAGGCAGTTAGCAAGGTTGGCCATCCCAAGCTCTGCTACCAGGACTGCATTAAGTGGCATATACAGTCTGTCAAGCTGGAATTCATGTCCTGGAAGGATATGGCCCATGACAGGCAAGCTTGGGACTGACTCTGCTATGAAGGAAGCAGAATGAGCAACAGACCATCATCGCGCTTCCTTGGCCGACAGGAGGGGGGAACGTGGACACCAACCTGCCCTGGCACGTTTCCTAAACCCCTTATGTGGAAACTGATTTGCAGTATCAGTAGTAGTCAGACCCAATGCGAGTGGCAGTCATCATCACGCCGCACCCTCACATCTGGCCACGGGTCTTATTTCGGGGCCATTACTTGTGCCAAAGCCCTGCAAACCAGCCCAGGAAAGATCTGCCCCGGACGCTGCAGAAACCAAGGGACTCCGCATCCGCGCGCCGGGGCGCGGAGCGGGGCTCGGCGGTGGAGAACCCGGCTGCGCAGGGCGGGAGGCAGCCCCGGGCGAGGCCTGCAGCGG